ATGAAAGGGTGTTGAATTTTATCAAATGCTTTCTCTGCATCAATTGAGATAATCATGTGGTTTTTCTTCTGCAGTCTGTTAATGTGGTGAATCACATTGATTGATTTGCGAATGTTGAACCATCCCTGCATACCAGGGATGAATCCCACTTGGTCTGGGTGGATGATTTTCCTGATGTGTTGTTGTATTCTATTGGCCAGAATTTTATTGAGGATTTTTGCGTCTATGTTCATCAGGGATATTGGTCTGTAATTTTCTTTCAGTGCTGCATCTTTCTCTGGCTTAGGGATTAAGGTGATGCTGGCTTCATAGAAAGAATTTGGGAGGATTCCCTCTTTTTCGATTGTTCTGAATAGTTTGAGAAGAAATGGGATTAGTTCTTCTTTAAATGTCTGGTAGATTCAGCAGTGAATCCATCTGGTCCTGGGCTTTTCTTTGTTGGGAGGGCCTTTATTACTGTTTCAATTTCTGTTTCAGTTATGGGTCTATTTAGGTTTTCGATGTCTTCATGGTTCAATTTTGGTAGATTGCATGTGTCCAGGAATCTATCCATTTCTGATAGGTTTTCCTGTTTGCTGGCATACAGGTCCTTGTAGTAATTTCTGATGATTCTTTTTATTTCTGTGGTGTCTGTTGTTACGTTTCCTTTTTCATCTCTGATTTTATTGATTTGGGTCTTTTCTCTTCTTTTTTTAGTTAGTTGGGCCAATGGGGTGTCAATTTTGTTTATTTTTTCAAAAAACCAGCTTCTCGCTTGGCTGATTTTTTGTAATGTTTTTTTGGATTCAATCCTGTTAATTTCTTCTCTGGTTTTAATTATTTCTCTTCTCCTACTAGATTTGGGTTTGGTTTGCTGCAGTTTTTCTAGGTCCTTGAGGTGCGCTGAAAGCTCATTTATTTGGTACCTTTCCAATTTCTTGATATAGGCACCTATTGCTATAAATTTGCCTCTCAATACTGCTTTTGCTGTATCCCATAAGTTTTGATATGTTATGTTGTTGTCTTCATTTACTTCCAGAAAGTTTTTGATTTCTCTTTTGATTTCTTGAATGACCCAGTGTTCATTCAGGAGCATGTTGTTCAGTCTCCATGTGTTTGCATACTTTCTGGGGTTTCCTGAGTTGCTAATTTCCAGCTTCATCCCGCTGTGGTCTGAGAAGCTGCATGGTATGATTCTAATTCTTTTAAATTTGCTGAGACTTGCTTTATGGCCTAGTATGTGATCAATCCTAGAGAAGGTTCCATGCGCTGCTGAGAAGAATGTGAAGTCTGTAGATGTAGGGTTGAAAGTTCTGTAGATATCTGTTAGATCCATTTGGGCAGTAGTGTCAATTAAATCTGCTGTTTCCTTGTTGATCTTCTGTCCTATTGATCTGTCTATTTCTGAGAGTGGAGTATTGAAGTCCCCCAGTACTATTGTATTGGAATCTAAATCTCCCTTTAAGTCCCTTAACATATCTTTTAAATAGACCGGTGCCCTGTAATTAGGTGCATATACATTTATAATAGTTACATCTTCCTGTTGAATTGAACCCTTAATCATTATATAGTGTCCCTCTTTGTCTCTCTTAACAGTTTTTGTATTAAAGTTTATTTTGTCTGATATTAATATGGCTACACCTGCTTTTTTTGGTTTCTGTTGGCATGGAATATCTTTTTCCAACCTTTCACTTTCAGTTGCAGGTATTTTTTTTTATATGCTGATTTCATTTCCTATGGGTAAGTTTCCAAGAGTGGGGTGGCTGGGTCATATGGTAGATCTATTTTAAAATTTTTGAGGAATCTATACTATCTTCAATAATGGTTGTGCTAGTTTACATTTCCACCAGCGATGTATTAGAGTAGTTATCTTTTTTAACCCATTGTCCCATTAACTTTTTTGAAGTGTTGTCATATGTACATGGACTTAAATATTAGAGACTATCAGTATCTGATACCTATACTTAATCTGTAGATAAGGTGACAATACTGGAATAGTGATAACTTCTTTCATTTATTTATTTTTAAAGATTTATTTATTTAATTGAAAGAGTTACAGAAAGTTGGAGAGACAGAAAAGGAGAGAGAAATCTTCTGTCCATTGCAAAGGCTGCATAGCTGAATGGCTGCAATGGCTAGGGCTGGGCAAAGCTGGGCTGAAGCCAGGAACCAGAAGCTTCTTCTGAGTTTCCCTCATAGGTGTAGAGGCCCAAGCACTTGGGCCATCATCTGCTGCTTTCCCCCAGGCACATCGGCAGGGAGCTAGATAGGATGTGGTGCAGACAGGACTCCAGATGGCACCCATATGGGATGCTGGCATTGCAAGAGGCAGCTTAACCTGCTACACCACAAACAGACCCTGTTATAACTCCTTTTTGCTTCCCTTTTTGGAAGTAGTTACAATGATTAAATCTTCTGGACATCTTATTTATATAGTCACCCTTTAAAATAGATATCTAATATAATTAGGAATAAAAATTTAGGCACAAAGAAACTAGAAACATTTGCTAAGTCAAATAAATCACAGATTTAAAATTTTTCAAGTTATATTTTTGAGTCCTTCGATGTTACACTAACTCTCAAAAACATTGTATTTTTAATTTTTGCCACATCTGTCAGGACTCACATTCACTTGTAAGAAGATGATACTATCTTCTGAACAAAGGCAAATGCAAAGCTGCTTAGAATAAGATTTACATAGGAGAGAACGATCCAACATGGAAAGTGGGATACACAGCAGACATATAGAATGGCAGATGTCTTAAGCAGCACTCTGGCCTCAGAATCAGCCCTTAAGGCATTCAGATCCAGATAAAAAGCCCATGAGAGTATGTCAGGCATGGAAAGGCAAGACACTGTGGCAAAAACAAAACAAAACAAAACCTAAATGAAAGATCTCTGTGAGTGAGATCCCAGTGGAAAGAATGGGGCATCAAAGAAGGAGGTACCTTTCTCTGAAGGGAGGACAGAACTTCCATTTTGACTATGACCTTGTCTAAATAAGATCGGAGTTGGCGAACTCAAAAGGCTTCCACAGCCTTGGCAACTCATGACAAGAGCCTCTGGTGATTACTGATGACATAAACGAGAGTGTCAATTGATAAATCAACAACAGGAGTCACTGTGCACTTACTCCCCATGTAGGATCTCTGTCCTTAATGTGTTGTACTATGTGAATTAACAGTATAACTAGTACTCAAATAGTACTTTACACTTTGTGTTTCTTTGTGGGTGCAAACTGTTGAAATCTTAATATATACTAAATTGATCTTCTGTATATAAAGAGAATTGAAAATGAATCTTGATGTGAATGGGATGGGAGAGGGAGCAGGAGATGGGATGGTTGTGGGTGGGAGGGAGGTTGAAGGGGGAAAAAGCCACTGTGATCCATAAGCTGTACTTTGGAAATTTATATTTATTAAATAAAAGTTAAAAAAAGAAAAAGATTTCCATAGACACAGGAGTGTGCAACACTTGTAAATTAAGTATAATTCTTCTTTAATAAGTTTGGGAATTTTCCTCACGAGAGAGTTTTCTACTTGTGTATTTGTGTATTTGACTCCTAAGCTGCTTAGGCATCTTGATGCCTCTGTCCCCTGGTTTGGGAACAGAAGCACTCCCAGGGTCCCCTCATCATGTGGTTGACTCCTAGGGGAGGAGATCTCTCTCTCCATGTGCTTACTGCTGTCAGGTTTCATGGTTTCTTGGCATATCAGCTTCCTCCAGGCCTCCCATGTGGATTCAGGGGCCCAAGCACATGGGCCATATCCTCTGCTTTCCCACGTGCATCCTCAGGGAGCTGGATTGGGAGTTTAGCAGCCAGGACACTAACCAGCACCCATGTGGGATACCAGTGCTGCAGGTGGAGGCTTTCTGCACTACGCCACAGCGCTGGCCCCAGAAGTATCATTTCCAGTACTCTCTTCCTGCAGGCCTATTTTTCATTCCATCTCCCTCTTTATGAATTGCATTTCCAGTTCCTTAGGATTTTACATCTGAAAATTCCACTGTGTAATCTGAAGGAGTTGAGTCCAGTTGGGCTGTTTTAGTTGATGACTCATTGATTGTGGCTCTTCCCTTTTAAGGAATTTATTCTTTTCTTCCCTCTTTCTCTCCCTTTTCTTCTTTTGCCCTACTTTTTTCTTCCCTTCCTTCCTTCCATCCTCCCTTGGAGGGTTCCTTTATTTCTTGGTGAGCCCAACGCCATTACAGTTTCTTTCTTGTATTTTATCCATGATCAAGTTGTTTGGCAGCAAGAGCTCCTTCAAAGTTCGGTTATCTCACCATGGTTGTGGGATGAGAATTGACCATGCAAGTGATTGCCCCAGAGAGGCTTTGTATTTGGCTTTTGTGGGAGCTATGGCATGCTCCCACCCCAGGACAAGTTTGGCACCATTGGGTGGTCCTTGCTCCAGTGTTACGGGATCAGCTCCTAGATGCTGGGTGTCAGTGCTGCTCTTGGTCAATGTCCAAACAGCAGCCTGGCTTTTGTATCTGCTAATGTTTCCCTGCTCTGCTCTCAACTCCCTCTGCTCTCCTCCCTCCCTCTCTCTCTTCCTGCTCCCTCCCTAAAGATTTCCTTTATTTCTGATGTGCCCAACAATGCCTTGCAATTTTGTTTTCCTATACTTTATCCATGATTGAGAGTATGGCAGCAAGAGTCCCTTCAGAGTATGAAACATCCCATTCTGGTGGGAGGAATGGAAATTGTCTATTCCACCAGTTACTGTGAAGCCATTCAGCTGTTTGTCTCAGTGAAAATGATAGTAGGTAGAATGAGATAGCAATTTAGAAGCAAGATTTTGAACATTCAGAATCCTCAGTCTACTTCAAAGAGATTTGAAAGGTATTGCATAAGTTGTATTGCATAAATTAATAACTAAATACAAATGACTTGTCTATAAAAAGAAAAAAAATACTGGCTATTTTGTATCTTGAATTGTTTCTTCTCTGGAGAAAAAAAAAAAAAAACCATCTGTAGTGCTGTGAATACAATAACAGTGTGTTTCGGGATTTAACAGGTCCAAAGGACGATAGCTAAGCAGATTCAGATGGTGAAGCAGATTGGAAAAGGTCGCTATGGGGAAGTTTGGATGGGCAAGTGGCGTGGCGAAAAGGTGGCCGTGAAAGTGTTCTTCACCACGGAGGAAGCCAGCTGGTTCAGAGAGACCGAAATCTACCAGACAGTGTTGATGAGGCACGAAAACATTTTGGGTGAGCAAAGTCTGAGGCGCAATGTTCGGATTTTCCTAGCTTCCTCCTGTCTTTCTGCTGACGCCTGCTAACTCGTCTGCTTAGACCCGTTATGAAACATACAGAATTTTCCTTCTTGGCCCAGACCCAAGAACCTTGTAAGCGTCTAAGTGGGAGACCCCACAGGAGGAGTGACTAAGGCACTGCCGAATGAATGGTGAGCTGCAAGTGAAATACTCACTACCATTTTTTCTGCAGCAACAGAAAATGCAGATGTGAAAACCAGACTTCAGACTTTCTTGGGAAGTTTTAGGGACTTGAAGGGGCATAGTTTAAATGTGAAAAGTTATAGTAACTGTATCCGCAGTGCTTTTTTTTATCAAGAGTCTATGCTGAGCATTTATTTTTTTATCTATTTTCTCAGGTTAGACATGATCTGTCTGAATCATTCAAGTAGACTAATCAGTGAGGTGTGTCCCTTAACTCAAGACCCTCTTTTGTAAACAGTGTCTTATATCTAATGCCATATTACAACTGCTGAGCAGGAAGACGTCCTGGGGAGGGCACTCAGCCTAGTGGTTAAGACCTATATGCCATATCACAGTGCCTAGGTTCAATATACCCCTCCAGCTGCCGACCCCAGCTTCCTGCTAACATAGACCTTGGAAGGCAACATGATCGCTCAAAGAATTGGGTTTCTGCCACCCGTGCGGGAGACCTGGATTGAGTTCTCTCCTGGCTTTGGCTGGCCCACCGCTAGCCATCGTGGGTATCTGGACAATAAATCAGCAGATGGGGGCTCTTTTCCTTCTCCATCTTTCAAATTAATTAAAAAAATGTTTTTGTATATGAGCTCTGAATATTTCTCTACCACTCCAATTTTGATTGCTTCTGACTAGTATTAATAATTTAATACAGTCATTCACATAATCAGAAAATTGAGTGAAATGATAAACAAAAGACACCAATGGACAAAGAATGGTATTTGAGAATACAAGTTCTTCTTGATACTATTCAGAAAACACTGCCTGGGGCTGGCATTCTGGAACAGTGATTAAGCTGTCGCCTGTGATTCCAGCATCCCGCGTGAGTGCCAGATCCAGTCCTGGCTGCTCCACTTCCAATTCACTTTCCTACTAATGTACCTAGGAAAGCATGGGAGGATGGTTCAAGTGCTTGGGCCCCTGCTATCCATGTGGGAGACCTCCATGAAGCTGTTGGTTTCAGCCTGGCCCAGTCTCCCTCCTCTATGTCTCCCTTTCTCTGTCTCTGTAATTCTGTCTCTCCTTCTGTCTCTGTAATTCTCCCATTCAAATAAGTAAATTAAATATTTAAAAATCTATTTGTCCTTTTTTCTTTTTAGGGTTTATTGCTGCAGACATCAAGGGAACAGGGTCCTGGACCCAGTTGTACCTAATCACAGACTACCATGAAAATGGTTCCCTTTATGATTACTTGAAGTCCACCACTCTAGACACAAAGTCGATGCTGAAGCTAGCCTACTCTTCTGTCAGTGGCTTATGCCACTTACACACCGAAATCTTCAGTACGCAAGGCAAACCAGCAATTGCCCACCGAGATCTGAAAAGTAAGAACATCCTGGTGAAGAAAAATGGAACTTGCTGTATAGCTGACCTGGGCCTGGCTGTTAAATTTATTAGGTTAGTATCAAATTGGACAAATATGCTATTCAGGATTCTTTCCTATCATTGTTTAGCAGAGTATGAATTTTAAAGCCCAGTGCTCCCAAAGGGTTTGGTAACTGAAGAACTTCTGGGATATTTAGTAATTGACAGGTTCCATTACCTTCAACTTTTTCTGTAGACGAAAAATAACCACCAGACTTTGGATTTGTAGCACAGCCTGTCTGGGCAGGGCTGCTGTGTCTGGGCTTTTCAGGGGCCTGACTCTAAGCTGCTGTACCTTAGGTCTGTGGCTGCCATGAATGTAGCTGCATGGAAAAGCTTAGGGAGCTGATGCCTGGGGATACGTGGTCCGAGCTCTCCTGGCATTGTAAGTAGGGCAACATGTCAGGGAAAATCTAAAGTTTGTATAGTGATAAAAGCAATCTTTTTATGTAATATATAGTGAAGATAACTTGCAGAAGTACATTATGAAAGATGTTGGAAACTCTTAACAAAATAGATTTGGTAGTCAGCACCATACACAGCAGCTCACATGCTGAATATAATGCCTGGACATGTATAACAGTGGCTTTCAAGTGCTTGGGGGCTCCTTGGAACTATGTTCTTACCGGAAGCTTTTGCACACTGGGGAGGGGATGTGTGTGTGGGTTGGAGACTGTTTTACTTACTCTCACTTGAAGTAGAGATACTCCTTTTAGATGATTCAATTGGAAGAGGTGGTTCCTCTTTTTTGACAGCAAGACAAGCAAATTGAGTTTTGCAAATCAGTGCTGTAGTGGGATCATCATGCCGTCACCTTTTTCAAAGCCCAATTCAGGCTTAGTGTTTAACAAGTTCTTGGACTCCCTTGTAGATGTTTCCAGACACCGTAGAAGTTAGTGAAGGGTACAGAGGAAAAGCCATGAGACGGTTCAAGGTTTGGAAAAGAAAACCCCCAAGAAAGGACTAATGGATTGTATTTTTACCTGGATGTAAAGGCTGAGGTTCGATTTAATAATGCACCATTTAGTGCATGGCAAATTCAAGTTCTTGATCTTTCAAAACAGAGCAAAGGGAAATGATTGGGGCTATAAGTTTAAGTTAGAAACATGAACCTCCTGCCAGTAAAGATTGTTAAATCCATTTTTCTGAATTCTTTTTTTCTGGCCTGCAACTCTTTTCAAGTCTCTCCTACAAAAAAAAAAAAAAAAACAAAAAAAAACAAAAAAAAAAAAACAACCTAAAACCACCCAGCTTCGTGATGCTTCTCAGATTTCCCTGCTTCTCTTTCCTCCTTGTACGGCCCTGTTAAAATTTTCCAAATAGGTCCAGAGGGAAGTCCAGCAGGGCAGCCCAGCAGTTTATACCTTGTCTTTTGTCTTCTGCTCCTCACCCTCATGCTTCCGCTTCACCGAGAGACGCCATCTGTCTTTGTCGCCAGCCCTTGTCCCGTTCACCCTGTGGCTGTCCTCAGGCCCAAACCTTACCTCCTCCCATTTTCCTCATGTGCCTTTGTCCACCACTTCCCTGTCTCTAACCACTGCTTCTGCTCTCTTTACCTCTTGAGTATTTTTTTTTTTGATGCTCTCCTATTCCCATTTGGGTTGATCCATTATAGAAGGTGAGTGCTTGGCACCTTCGTTTTCCCCCTGATTTTTGGTATGCAGAGTGGGATAAATTCTGTCTTCCTGGAATTCCTCCTGTACTGGTGCACTTTGGGCTGCCTCCAGCATTTTCCTAGTTTCTGCTGTGCAGCATTTGTTACTTCCTATTTCTTGTTGCAGGCTTTTGTGCACACTGCTCTGGATTTATTTTCTTGAAGCATGACTGTGCGACATCAGAATTTCACAGTTTCCTCTCACTGTGGTTTAACTATAGTTAAAGTCCTTGGGTGCAGTAGATCCTTCCTTGTCTGACCCTGGCCTCTTCTTGAGCCCTGTCCCCAGCTCAGTGTTGACCATTTTCTGTAGTGACCCTGACTGAACACTGTACTTCTCACAGCTGCAAGCATTTTAGCCTGGATCTGTCATTCTCTCACACAGCCTTCTCTATCCAGATACTTACTGCTAAGCTTCTGTGAGATGCCATTTATTGCGATTCCCTCACAAGTCTCATTTTAAGTCAATCTTTGTAGTTCCAGTGTGGCCCTGTATGTATTATCATGACATTTCTCAATCTGTAGAAGAGTGTTGGCTTCTTCCCTGTCACTCTCAATGGACAGTGAAGGTAGAACATGTGATTTTTTTGCATTTGCATTCCTGGTACCTTTCCCTGGTGCTGATTTTTAGGTGCTGGCTAAAAATCTCATGTAATGGATAAGTGAATGGTTCCATATGGACTCCAAGATGAAGCCCAATAGCACCTTTCCTTGGCTCCAGAGACCCTCCACGCTGTGGACTGAGTCCACATCCCTAGTTTTATATTGTGCAAACTCTCCAGTCTGTGTGCTCTCGTTGATAAAACTCCTGTGTTTTCTCCTCATGTATCTCATGCTTGCTGCTGTCTTGCTCTTGATTCTTTGCACAGTCTTTAGCTTGGGAAGTCTCTGCTTCTCTGGGTACTTTAATCTAATCTTAGGAGTTGCCTCTCAGTCACCTTACTCATCCCCAATCTCGGAAGAATGGCACGCCCTCTGCACTCCTGTAGTAACCTCCTGGCCCTGGTTTGCCTGCCATTGTAAATATTTTGGTGCCTGCCTCATCTTTCCTGCTAGTCACTGGGCATCCCGAGAGCAGCATCCATGGTAATTAGCGTGTTTCCCATTTGATAGGACATAGTGAATTACCCACTACAGGCATCCTAACATCATTTTGAATCAATAAAGGTAGGCAATAACAAAATAATTGCAAACTCATCTCCTTTATAAACCTTAAAACAAAGAGATTGACTATCTGTTATATTTCTGAAACTGACTTCTGCTTAGTGTAAGGGAAGCAAACTGATGGCCTCTCACATTTCATGCAAAGCCTGATTCTAGGAAGGAAAGAGAACTCTGCAGGGGACAGTTTGGAGATGTGCCTGGCATACATTGACTGGTTCATCAAGAGGAGGGGAGATGTGCTGCTGGTTCAGATGTCACCTGCATAGGCTGACATCTCGGAGACCAGCTTCTGCACCTCAGTCTCCTCATTCCTTATATGGAGGCTTAATAAATGGGGGCTTAGTAAATTGCTGTTTTTTTATTTCCCATGTTTCAAAATTTGCTTGTCGCAATTTCTGAGCATAACATGGAAACCTTGCTTTACGTGCTGCCCTGGTTACTCTTTTCCTCCTGTTTTGTATCGGTGTGTGTGAGTGTGTGTGTGTGTGCGCGTGCACATGTGCACACATGCAGATATTCAGTGTTTTATTACAAGTGGAGTCATAGCTGGCCCAGTGCTGAATTCTCAGACTTCGTAGGTGAGCTTTCTGTGAGAACTTAATCTTTACCCAGCTCTCTACACAGTGGTAAACGTTCTCTTCAGCTTCTAAATCATCTCTGGGAGGTTCCCAGGGAAGTTGAGAACCACGAAGAGAACAGCCAGTGCCTTAGAGATTTCCTGCCCATGTAATATTTTTTTAATCCTGCACTCCCTTGGAAATGACGTAAGTGCGGATGCGTTTCCTGTGCTGCAGAGATTGAATGCAGGTGAGCCCTGGCCAGCGTCACTGCTACCTTGAATCTCTCTTGGGGGGATGAAACTGTGACTCACGAAATGGCTCAGAGGCGCTCACAGAAATTTTCACTTTTCACTCCGGAGATGCAAGTAACCCCTCTGGTGCTTCACTGTCAGGATAAAATACTTTCTTAGTGGCAAAATAAATCCTGGCTTAGGGCGTCTGTTCCATTAAATGTTAGATAGCAAAGCGACACTGAGGACTAGCCTTGTGACACAGATGCCCTGGTCAGATTGTCATTATTTGGAACACTGCTTCTGCTTGGTGTACTTGTTGGTTTTTTTCCTTTTAAATGGCATGGCTCAATGACTTACCAGAGCCTCAGACCAAGCCTCATTAGTGAGAGTCAGCACCCCCCATCACCATCATGCCTTCTGCAACCATACCTACCTTCTGTTCGAGGACTTCTAGTTCTCCAGTTGCCTTTCTAAGGAACCCCAGGTATCTCAGGATTTACTCCTAGCAGCCATGAAGCCTGGGAAAAGTGTTGCTGGCAGCTACTCATTGGGTGATCAACCGACTGGCACAAGTTCAGTGCAGCAAGTGATTTCCACAGCTGTCTGCAAGATCTGTGGCAACCGCCCAGACATGGCCCCTTTTTGGAGAACCTGTCATGCTGGGGGTGGGGTGGTGTCTGTAGGCTAAGAGGTGATTTAGCATCCTCCAGTGTTTGTAGTTTTAGACATCAGTTACCAGCTGCAGGCAAAACAGTGGTGGTCTCTCTCTCCTTTCACACATTCTTTAACGTGCAGGTCTTATATTTTGAAAAGCTTTTTAAATGGACAAAAGGTGTATAGTGTTGGTGTCTCCTGTCTTTATTATCTTTCTTTTCTCCCTTCTGCCTCTGTTCCTCTCACCTCCCTCTGCTTAGGGCATCAGCGACTGCAGCAGAAGGACCACCCACAGGTGCATACAGGCTCAGGGAGGCTGAGCCACTGTGCTGGAGCTGAGTGTTCGGCTCCTATTCTTGCGTCCCACTGCCACCAGGGGCTCTGCTCTTGTTTTCCTGAAACTCTGACTGCAGTTGATGGTAGCAAGGGGAGTGTGCACTGGGCTGTTTCCAGCAGGTGCGAGAAGAAGGGCGGGGGGCGGGTAGGGAGGAGTATATTTCTTGCCAGAATTCCTGGAATGGATTTGTAGTGAGGAAGTTCTGTTAACATGAAAAACATTTCACATAAAGTAAGTAGAGACCCTAAACTCATATTTAAAAAAAAAAAATCTCCTTTATCCCCTCCCTGCCACCAAAAGTCTCACACTCACCTTCGTCTCGGGCTTGATGGAGAGCTTATGAGGCAGGCACTGTTCACAAAGCCCTGGGGGATGCTCGTGTTTCATTCTCCAGCCTGCTCGGGGTCCTGGTGGGAGGTTCCACTTTCAGC